ATATTTGGGGTATTAAAAATCTAAATAGGCAATAGAATATTTTCTTGTATCAAACTTTTTACGACTTAAGTGCTGATTGGTCAAAAGTATCGAGAAGTTTAAAATAATGAAAGAAAAAGTTGGGGTCAGTGATGTAAATTTTGAAATATTGGTCAAAATGTGCGATTTTCTGGCAAAAAACTGTGTAAATTTTATCTTGATTTCCTTAATATATCTTCATTTCTTGGCAAAGTTTGTTGAGCGAAGGTGTAAATTTTGTTATAAAAATATAAATTGAGACCTATATTTAATATTCTAGGCATATCATAACGGAAAATATTCTCTGAGTAAGAGTATGTGAGGCTAAAGTTCCAAGATATTAAATTTAATAAATGTGTAGATTTGCAGAATTTTCTGCTAAATATCCTTCCACCACAAGAAATAGTCCCTTATAAATCTTGCTTCTTTATGAATTTTTGAGCAGTTTTTTTAATTGAATGTTGAACATTTTACATTGTTTAATTTAAATATGCTATGAAGATTTAATTGTAATTAATAGTTTTTAAGTAAGAGGTTCTGACTGAAATTTTCTAAAAGGCTGACGAGTGACATACCTTAAGCTTTCAGCTCAGGTGAGCTAAAAAGTTTACATACACCGCACAAATGGCCATAGCATTAGCTCTTTGAGCCTTTGGCTCACAAGAGCTAAAAAAGATAAAAAGAATTAGGTATCTTAGAGTTGTCTATTTGTAATCAAAGCTATATTGAAATCGGACCAATTTCTTGAAATAAAAAATTGCACTGTTGTAGTGCAAAAAAATTAATGATATTTTACATGTCGCTACAATATTCAAAGAGGGCATGTTGCAAAATTTTGAATTAAATTAGAGGGGTTATGACTGTTTCATCGCTAATTATAGATGATCAATGCGAAAACACAAAGTTGAGAATTGCAATGTCATTGAAAGTCTTGGAGAGCACCGAGCTATTAAAAAATTATTCCTTCAGACAGGTCATTTTTCAAAGTGCACAGTAAATTTTCCTTAAATCAATGTGTCTGCAAACTTTTCTAACAATCCTCATTCAAGTACATGCCCTTAGCACTGAAGTCATTTGAAATATGCACATATGTTAACATTTGTTGTTGTATATGCCAAAATAGCAGTTCTCTCTAAAATTTTTTTGTAAAAATACATATATTACAAGTTCTTAATGTATTAAGGCCTGACGTGTCCATAATCCTAGATGGAAGGACTTTTATCCTTGTGTGACTGTTTAAATTTCACTATGCTGCTTATTCTTCGTCATCTCCAAACAGATGCTCTTCTGGCAAATATGGTCATGCTTGGTATCAAATTTCAGTTATCAGATGGCAGTCACACCTATCCAAAAGAAATTGAAATTTCTCATTTAAAATAAAAAAAAACTGTACAACTTATAAATGATAAATAGCGATGTTAATTTTACTTGGACAGCTAAGTCGCACAGTCAGAGGCTTTAGTCAAATGAAATTCGAGTACTCGTTGAAATTTAAATTAATTTTTCATGTCATTTTCTTTTTGTCTTTAAGAGACTGCTAGCCTGTACAATATTTAAACTACGTTATAACCATTATACAACAAATTATTGAATCATTAACATTTTCGTAGTAATAAATATATGTATCAAATGTATTTGATTTCAAATATAATATTTACTGCCTGTGTTTTTTTTTCAGTACTTTGGGACTGGGGGCTGGGGCCCTCAGAATTGGGAATTTCAGCATCAATTAGGCTAAATTGAGAATCTCCCAGAAAGCCCAATCACTTAAAAAGCATTGTCAAAAAGCTTTGTTTTTGTCTTTGTATTACTTTAACAAACAATTGTTATAACTAATCAAGACTATTCTTGGTATGGATTATCTAATTACTTGCATCAAGAACAATAGTGGTATGAATTATCTAATTATGAAGAAATCCAACTTGGCTGAGGTGGCAGAGGATAGTTTTTTTTAATGCCAAACATGTGCCGAGGGGGTACACATATACATGCGATCCATAAAAACATGTACATGGGGACAGTTTTCCAGGGGCTAATTAATTGCACTTCAAATGCCAATGGCTCACAAATTATGTCAACAAATTACATGTAATCTGCCTAGTAGAGTGCACATGTACCAAAAATACACCTGGGGTCTCCCCAAATTTTGGTTGTTTTTCCAAGATTTGGGCCTCAGTCGCACCCATACAATCCATCCCCAGGCCGAAGCAAGCAGGATAAAACACCCAGTAGTCTGTAAATCAATGCATGCCCTAATGAAAATTCACCAATTGATATGGGGCCATTCATCTTCCCTCTGAGATACACACCTTCTTCTAAGGCCTACTGCTTTTCAGCTGAATTTCCTCTGCATTTTACTGACCACGTGTCTTAGGTTCGCATTTACAACTCCGTATATGATAAGCATCATAGTGACACCTACAAGTTGCACATCATTTTTTTCAGCAAGCACTTTGCTACACTGCAGATGTGTCCCATAATTATTCTAATCATTTTTCTACATAAAATATCACATCAAACAGGGGATATCTCAATTTTTTAAGAAATTTGACCGGGTCTTTAGTACGAAACTATCCCCTGCCACCTTTAACTTTCAAAGTTTGCTTTTTAATTAAAATAACTTTCCATATTTAGAAAGTGCAATTAATTCTGAGTAAAAACATACTAAATATGTCTTATTTCAATGAAAAATAAAAAAGTTAGAGGCAAATAAGTGACCCCACCAATTGTCGGTCAACTACCTTAACCCCATATTCTTTGTGTTACTTCAAAAATGACCAACTCCTACAATCCAAAAGAATCTATTTCTTATCAAAACAGTGTTTAATGGTAACTTTGATCAATTTCAAATGCAGCTACATATAAAAAAATTCAATAAGAATTGCATGCCTTCATGAAATGTACTCACATGAAACACATACTCTCCTATTTTTGATGTTTTGAGAAATCCCATTTTATCTCTTAATTGCTTGAATTTATGCATCTATAGCTTGTTTGCAAAAAGAAAACCTAATCTATTTTTCAGGATATTTATTGTAATATACAAAACCCCCTCTTGCATCAAAGGTTCAAGAAGAAGTGTCCTGAAAGTTGCAGTTATCTACCCTACCCCTCCAACCATTACCTGATTCTATAGAAAATATTTCAAAAACATTAAAATGTGCACCGTCACATATACTGTGGAAATCTGATTTTACTGACTGTCCTTTTCCTGAGTATATTTCCATTCAATTTCAATGTATCTGAGTGATCAAATACATGCATTTGATTCCCCTGAATAATTAAAGTGATCATCCTGTCCTTACTTGGCATTTGTGAGTAACTTTCAGGTGTTTAGTAGAATCCAATAATTACATGAAAAATGTACATATTTCTGATATTTTGTTCATTAAATATGCAAAAAGACCATCTGTTTTGTTATAATTTAAAGAAAAATATATAATCTATATGAAAATAATGAAAAGTTTAAGTTCTATCACATTATAGAAGACAAATGAGGGGGAAAATGAAGGGGAGGGGGGTATTTTTTTTTTATGTAATTATCAATAGTAAGATGGGTCTAATTTGAAAAAAAATTAAAGCACAGCAATTCTTTGAATAAATGTGGTTCTGTGAACTGATATTTTTGCATACTGACTCATTCTTTTCTCAAAATAATGATATTTAGTGAAAATACATGTAAAAAAGAGTAAGTTTATAATTTGTAATTTCAGTGATATCGCAATAACTGAGCCCCTTTAATTTTAATTAATACTAAGTGATATTGCATCAAAATTTGATAAAATATATGTGACAGTGCCCAAACTATTATTTTCAAACAAATAAATTTTTCTCAGACAAAAATTGCCTTACTCTGTTAAGATTTGTTAAGCTGATGCTTCAAACTCTTTGAAAATGTGTACTGGGAAAGGTTCCCTAATGTAGATTTTCCGTAAGATCCGTGGAATTCCATAACAAATTCTGTGGAATTCCATGGAAAAAGTGTTCCATGGAATTCCAAGGAATTCTCGAGAGTATTGGGACGGAACTTTTTCGGAATGGTATGGAATTTCAAATCTAGCCTGGAAAAGAGCGGAACAATGCCAGAATAGAAATTTGCGGAAATAGCTGGAAATCCATGGAATTCCAGGATATTTGGAAATCTATGGAATTCCACGGAAATCCAAGGAATTCCAGGAAAATACAAAAAACTGGAATAATCAAACTAATTTAAGGGCCAAATAATTACAACAAAAATGATAACATCACAATTTTTCATAAATCAAATCTATATTTTCAAAATAAAAAAAATTATTTTTGCTGTACAATGTGTTTGGGGACAAATATTGCATACACACTTCTATGTATAATGTAAGCACAAATTTTAAAAAGTATTATCACTGAAAGTATTTTACATCAAAGGTTATTTAAACAATGTTAAAAATCCACAGAAAAATATCATTACTGGATGATCACCTTGGTTTAATTAATGAGAATTATTATAATATACATGCATGTACATGTAGTAAATTACAGTCTGCATGAGAAACAAATGACTTTTGGTTAAAGAAAATCCTTTGTACCTAATATCAAACATATGACATTTTTTTGATAATAAAACAAAATAGATTTTTAAAAAACCCATTATATGACCTTTTGCTTCATTAAATGACCTTGGGAAAGGTCACTAAAGCCTTAACAGGGTATATTTGCAACATTTGTATACAGTTACAATGATCTTCCAGTGGTCCATATACATTTACCATACAAAGTTAATGACTAGAGTGACAAACATAGGTATTAAGTACACAAATATCTACTACACAACTATATTTGGAAGATCCCATAAAATCAACACATGCTATTTTTTCCCCCAACATGCCCCAAGATCCTACTTCTGAAGTGTTGGCTAGAATCACTTCCTCACTGGTTCTGCTAGAGGGTGGTCAGATAATTGGTGTCACGAATGGATTCACTTTTGGTACGACGGCTTCAAAACTCAGCAAGTTTGATGTTGATCATTCCCACACTTCAAACTTTTCTTGCTCAATTTCTGAAAGAAAAGATTACCATAAAGATGTACGATATCTACAAATTGTTGATATCCAATGGAAGGCCTTCTCACAAGGAAACACCTAATGAAGTATGAAAGCCAAACCTGAATCCCCTTCACTCAAGGATGTTTTGTGACAAGTTTGGCTGATCCTATGGTTCTGAGAAGCCAAAAATGTAACACCAGACACTGATCAGAAAACTCACTTGAGCCTTGAGCTCAGGTGAGCTAAAAAGAAAAGGTTAGAACTAAAGTGTATAAATAAAGAGACATGATTGTGTCTAAGTTAATTAACCTTGAATATGAGAGAGAACATTGTAAATTACATAAACTATGTACCCTTAAAAACATCCAGCAAATAAAGATAAGGTATGAAAAAAAAGTACATGCACATTAGTAAATATAATTTATATACCATATAAAACATTCAGTTTTGCCTTGTCAATGGGTCGTCTTTTGTCTCTTAAGCTTCTGATTAAAAGCACCCTGAACAGGAGTTTGGACGCCTATGCTGCCTTTGATATATTATCCTCCATATTTGCAAAATCTGTTAACTGACCCTTGAAAAGAGGAAAAGACGAATTTATATGCATATGTAGTTGCTTTAAATGCATATTGGCATATTTACAATGTAACAAAAATATAGACAAAGCAAATAACATAAAGTGAATATATAGAATACATTTGTTCTACTGGCTTCAAACATGCAAATACATGTACATATTTTTTTTGAAAAATTAAGGAAATATTAAATAAAGTGTTATAAATACATGTAACTTCCATGCATCAACAATTCAGTATTGAAATTAAAAAAATATTTGAAAGAGTGATGTCTAATGTTTATAATAACTGGCTAACATTGATAAACACATAATTTCAATTCTTTTGATTTTATTGATTAGGAAAATGATTAAAAAATCTGACCTTTGTGTAAATTTCCATACAGCTCTGAGCTCTTGTCCTTTTTGTGAGCATTCCTGTAAATAATGCATGCATAATTTTATGTCATAGAGTATAGTCATTTTTAATATTTCAGGGATAGACATTTAACTTTCAGATTCACTTGCCCTTTGGGCAAGTGATCTCAAACTTTGACTTGTCCAAATGCAAAACTTGGTTGCCCACAATTAGCTGATTAGGAAAGAATTTAAGAAGAAAATTATTAATTACTGTAAACATTATGATAAGAAAAAAAAGAGGCTGCCGACATTGAGCATGGAAGAGAATTCCATAATATCACTGCATGGGGGGGGGGGGGGGGAGCTTTATTTAAATTACCTGTGCAAGCACTAAAGGTGTGAAAGTAAGGAAGTCTTGAAATGCCTTTGTTGGTGGTAGTCTGTGAAACTAAATAGAGGCTTGGGTCTACCGCAACTAAGCTGTGCACAACTTTATATCATATAGAGCATTATTAGTCTACCACGTTTCTTCTGCCTTGTAAACATGGTAAAAATAGCCAATTTAGATGTTGCATCATGTTGGAGACACTAATAGTGTTATGATGTGTGTGTACGATGTAACATGGACTGTGGTGGCGCAATTGGCAACGTGCCACTCGCATATATAGCGAGGTCTAAGGCATGTACGAACGGGAGGAAATTCGGGTTGAAATCCACACATTGTTCAGACATATTTTGATAAGCGATGTTTAGAGTTGTACTGACTTGTACAATAATTATTACAGAAATGAAACTGCGCTCGCCCTAATGGTTTCACCGTCGGGCATTCTATGTGTGTGGTGCCCAGACTGAGGAAAAGTAGCAGAAGCAATTATCCATTCAACTTCAAGGACACATAAAATACTGTACATTGTACCTACCGGGTCTTAAAATATCTGCATCTTTTGTCAAAATACAAATTCCATTCCAAGCTAATCATGATGACAGCAGTTCCCTTCTTCGTGACACTCTCTTTCCTTCTGTCCAACAATACAACATCATGAACATGGCAGCCGAATTGTTGAATTTTGGCGGTCTGTTGTTTAAATTAATTGTTCGTCGAGCCCGACATCGATCCCGACGTAATTGTACTATGAGCCAACAGTTTAAGAAAAAATTCTAAGTTATTTTCCACAGCTTTCCAGAGCAGAAAATGTCTAAGTTTCTCATTTTATCAGCTTTTCCATAGATTTCCACAACTTTCCAAGCCTCAAAATGTCTAAGTCCAAATTTGTTATTCAAATTCCAAAAGATTCCAAAAACTTCCAAAAACACTTTTAGACACTTGTATGGAAATGTTTGGAATTCCATGGAATTCCAAAACTTTTCCAAACCCTTTGGAAAATCTACATTAGGGATTTACCCCCCTTGTGTTTAGGTCTCTATATCTAAATGAATAAGAGTCAAATAAAAGAAATATGGTGAGTTTTGAAAATGGCATACATCAATAAACTTATTTAGAGAAGAATTAGACTAAATTACATATTTCTGAAAATTGGTGTTTTCTTGAAGGTGGCAGAGGATAGTTTTTTTAAATGCCAAACATGTGCCGAGGGGGTACACATATACATGCGATCCATAAAAACATGTACATGGGGACAGTTTTCCAGGGGCTAATTAATTACACTTCATATGCCCATGGCTCACAAATTATGTCAACAATTTACATGTAATTTGCCTAGTAGAGTGCACATGTACCAAAAATACACCTGGGGTCTCCCCAAACTTTGGCTTGTTTTTTTCAAGATTTGGGCCTCAGATACAACCCACCCCCCAGGCCCGAGCAAGCAGGATAAAACACCCAGTAGTCTGTAAATCAATGCATGCCCTAATGAAAATTCACCAATTGATATGGGGCCATTCACCTTCCCTCTGAGAAACACACCTTCTTCTAAGGCCTACTGCTTTTCAGTGAATTTCCTCTGCAACTGACCATGTGTCTTAGGTTCGCATTTACAACTCTGCATGACTATAAGCGTCATAGTGACACCTACATATTGCACATCATTTTTTTTCAGCAAGCACTCTGCTACACTGCAAATGTGTCCCATAATTATTCTAATCATTTTTCTACATAAATATCACATCAAACGGGATATCTCAATTCTTTAAGAAATTTGACCGGGTCTTTAGTATGAAACTATCCCCTGCCACCTGAACAACAAAACCTGCTTGAAAAACATGCAATAAACAAACTAAATTTGATCACATATTTTGTAAGTATTTCTTTGGGAAAACTTCCATTACATTTTGGGAAAATACAGGCATATTTTCAATTGGGACTGGGGCCGAATTTCCGCCCCAAGTCGGCTCTAAAAAATCACTGACTGCACATTTTATCTATATACAGAACATCAAATGCTCGTATTTATCCTTTCTTTTCCTGCTGCTAGTACATGTACCCGTTATTGATTTCTTACCTGAAGCCATTTGAATGTGTCTTGTCAGTGACCCGTGATTGTTAAACAATTAAAGTGTAACTCTTATAAAAACAAAATTTTAACTATGAGATTTTTTGCATTCAATCAATACAATTTAAAAATGATTGATATTAATATCAGAAAGAAACACCTTTGAATTATGCTCATAACCATTCCCCAATTGACATGTATTAATAAAGTTTTATTATTCTTCATTAATTGGTAGTTGCATTATATGAGATCTGAGATCTTACGAAAATGCAGGTTGAAACTTTACAATTTGGATCCGACATCTTTTAAAGTATGCCAATGCATGTTTGTCGAACAACAAAATTCCTTTGAACAATTAACAAAGACTGGTTAAGCCTTTCCCTGAGTTTGAACACTGATACGTTAATAAATGAACTGAGCAGATCCAATTTTTTTTACATTGAATTTAAGAGTAGCAAATTTTAAACGAATAACTGACTTAACAAATTTTAGTCGATAGTCAGTATGATTGAATGATAGTCGAGTACTCGAATATTCATTGACACCCCTAATGAAACCATCAAACAGAGTTCAAAGATACTGTCACATTTTCCTTGTATTATTTGTAAAAAGTACTCTATTAAATAGATGTTTACATGCAGTCAATTTCGAGAATGTAATTACAAAATATAATATAAATAGGGATTAATCACAGGTACTTGCGGACAGGACCCCCACTTAGATCATGTAGATAGCATGTGTAAAACTAGTCTCATTCAAGCAGATGCTCGACTGTCTCCATAAACTCCTGCTCGTTGGAGTTTACGGAGACAGACAAGCATCTGCTTGAATGAGATTAGTTTAAAACTGAAAAGTTGCTATTGACTTATTAAATTATTCACAATATACAGCCACTGTGAAAACAAATCCCCATTATTTTGTCATTACAGTAAAACATGCTTATAAGTGCCAGGGAAAAATAATTTTGATTCATTATAAATGTATTCATTTTTCAGTTTAGTTTTCAGTATGTTTTAAAACCACAAGGAATGAAAATCACTTCACTATATATGCTTCAATTCCTTATTTAAGTCTGTTCGCAGTAAGCGTGTTTACTGTATAACCCAAATACCACTCTAAGTTTAAGCTGATCCTTACGTCGCAGGTTCAAATCCCACAGCTGGATGTGGAGATAGGTTCCTCGGATGAAACCGTATGAACCGAGGTTCTGTGTCACAGAAGGTGCTGGCACGAAAAAGATCCCTCACTTCCCAAAGGCCATAAGTGTCAAGTACAGGTCTATATTTGCAGGCCTCCACCAGCAAGTGGTGGCATAATAATATGACTAAAAAAATTTGAAGGGGCAATAAACAAAACACAAATCAATCCTGCAGTCTTATCACAGAAATAATTCAAACTTTTATGTATAAATATATTTCCAAATTTCTTTTGCAATTTAACTGAGTGACATTTTTGAGATTTTCCAATAATAATACACATTTACTAACTGGGTTCGAGGGCAACATGTGTTTTGTCGGACCCAAGAACCAAACTGTTTGCCTGAGGCCATTAGGCCGAAGGGAAACAGTTTGGTTCAAAGGGTCAGCAAATTGCATTTTACCCCGAGAACACAGTCAATATCTTTTACTTTCTTATTTTGTTTGACATACATGTATTTTGTAGTGGCTTCCGTGATGTAAATTTCCTTTACCAGCACTGAGGTAAAACTCTGTCAATTCCGTAACTTTCAAACACCAACGAATGCAAATGAGATTTAACTAATCCCGCGCATACTGTAATATGTAAGCAGTCCAATGATCTCATCGACAGGTTCAATATCTCACTTTGCGGTTCAACATAGATTTTTTTATGATTGCTCATAGAACCTTGGAAATGTTAGATATTTGAGTGTACACTGGTATAGATTTATATAAGAACAAATTTTTAAAGGTATAACAAATTGTAATATTAATTAAGGCCCTAGTTGTAACAGCTATTCATACTTGTTGAAGAATATATAACAATAATTATCATGTTTAAACATGTAGTATGTTAGATAGTGTATTGTTGATTTTTTGCATTTTTTTTTGTTTCAATAAGAAAAATAAGTCTTGGTGAAATTACATGCTCTCATGCATTTAAATATAAGGTAAAGCAATGGGGATTTGACAATGTCATGTCAGGGCTAACAGACAGAGACTGAACCATAAAATAGATAACATACATCAGTGTTTGTGCGTACATTTATACATTTGCTGGCATATACATGTAAACATCAGTGCTGTAAGCAGCTGTTAAATTTTAGATAAGAAAAATTCTAACCTTCATTTCATTGGTCCACGCCAATCATGTATTAAAATGTCACCGTGAACTCTTTCATCACTCGCTACATTTATCACAGAAAACTCCGACACAAGACTGTTCATCGCTGTTAATGTGATCGTCAGAATTTCCTCGTAAACTATTTGCGCAAGAATATATATATCCCTTTAAAACTAATGCTCTCTGTATGCAACCAAGGATTTTATGTGCTTCGTAGATGTGGATTAAACGTGCATGTCTACACACGGCTCGTACGTTAAGAAAATGTACAACTGTCAACTTCACATTTGGCCATTTCTGTCTGTAATTCCGACTTGCATGGCTACTTTCGGGGACGTACTAAAGACTTGATATACTAAAAACCTGATATTCGACCTGATGGTTTTTTTCAAAAAATAAATAATCAGATTGAGTGTTAAACATGATTTATTTTTAAAAATTATTGATTATGAAGCATTATGCTTTACTAAACTACACTTTTTTTTTAATATTTGCCAACAAAGCATCAGATCAAATCGTTTTTCGTATTTCGGGTCTTTAGTGTCTTCTTCCCACAATGCCGCTCGTGATTGTTTACATCCAGGTTACAAACAAGAGGCCCCGATTAAGACTCTTTCTATACGGATGCATTTGTAAATGTTGATTTACCTTTACTTGTGTAAATAACTTGCATTTATAAACGATTTAAATAACAGAAAACAGAGAAATCGAATCAAAACAATTTATTTAAAACACAACAAGTATCTAAAACCGTACAAGCATGTGTTACGATGCCCTAAAAGGCGTGGCTGGTTTTTAGACAACTTGTTCCTGTACGATTCTCGAATAATTATTATATAAAATAGAATAAAATATAGCACGGAGCTTGTTTCTCTTTATACCACATGACAAGATTTAATATGTTAGAAAGTATGTCATTCAAACTTTTTCATAATATTTTAATATTTTTAGCTATCCAAAAAATACTTTTATGACCTGCTGTCCCCTGAATATAGGAGCCAGCCCCTTTTTCTTGATGTTATCTGAAAGCTCTCGTAATTACACACAACTTTTATTCTATATGTCTTACCAAATTTTTATCAGTTTACAAGTTATTAAACAAAAAGCAGCACAATTTCATGGAAAAATAATTCTTAAAACTTGCCGTCACATAGCTTCCGAACTTAAAAAAATTAGCCTACAATTTTAATGTTCTGCGCATCTGCAATGTATTAGTTACAAGTTCTCCAGTTTTCATGCAAATATCATGTGTCGTTATTGAG